ATTTTTAGTGCGTTTTGAATTATAATAAATTAATAATGCCAAAAGATATGTTAGTAAATGTACTAAAACTTCTATATAATAGAATTCCAACAAAAATTCTTTATAGTATTTTTGTTCCGAAAACAAAACCCGTTGTACAACTCCCTACTCTCCCCTAATTTTAACAAATATTAAATTCATTTTCACAGTTTTTTGAGAAAATTCAGTTCATATCTAGGAATATAATAAAAATTAAGTTAATTTAAAAATTAACTATAATTATTTGAATGTTCTTTCATTCTTTCATTCACTTTTTCTGTCCCTCACACTCTGAAGTTGTCTTTTGTTTATACTTTTGCTTTTGTTAACTTTAGATAGAAAATAGAAATCATCAGAACTTTTTTCACTTCTTTTCATTAAGAAAAACATTAATTAATTAATTAATTAAAAAACCTTTTTTAAATTAAACAACTTATAAAAGTATTGTTTATAAAACATGAAGATATCAATTGCTCCGAGTCGAAGACTCGGAGTGATCGATTTCTTCATGTTTTCTAATAAATTAAAGATGACCGAGAGATAAAATCATTATTTTACATTATAAGAATATTGTTACTGTAACTTCATCAAAATTATTTTCATCATTTTAATTAAATTATTCTTTTCTAGAATTTTAAATTATTTTTTATGAAAATAATAATTGAATTCTTTAAAAAATTTTAGGGGAGAGTCTCCAGTTGTGAGACACCTCCAGTTGTGAGACAGTCAATTTTTTTTAACATGCAATATTAAAAAGCCGATTGGTTTGTATAAAAACATTTCTTTTTATATGAGCTAACTTTTTCGTGTACGCCGAAGCGGATATATAAACTGTTTTTGTTAAATACCAACACTGTGTGTGATAATCGACTAAAAAGCGTTTTTTCAATAAATGCAAAGTACTTTTTTTCCAAGTTCATTAATTGGAAAAGGTAAATGTAATGCATTTTCTTTTAGGGTTTTCCTTATATTTTGTGATGCAATATTGCATTGTTCCAATCTGCGGTTGAAAATAATTTCATTTTCCTTTTTCAAAATAGCGCCAATTTCTGAGTGTGAGACACAGCATATCACCAGTTGTGAGACGGTGTCAACACCCATCTGGGCAGCATAAAAAATACGACTTTGCAGGCATACTATTTAAATGTTGTTTTGATTTTTTTCTAGTATTTTTGGGCATGTCAAGTGGAAAAAAGTTAATTGATTCAGAAGAAATCAATTTTAATGCTCTTGTTGAAGCTATTAAATTGTGTTTATTTCTGTGGAAGAAAGGCATAACAGCATAACTGCATTTGTCATGATTTCGAGATAAATTAATTTTAATGTTCTCTCACTTCTGTCAATTCAGAAAATCAACAGATTTGTTCGGTCTTTTGCATTTAGTATTATTATTTAATATATTTTCAAAACTCTTTTATAACATTTAATAAAACACACGATTTGATATAAATTTTGATAATTTTTCATCGGAATCATGAGTTTTATTGCACTTATGCGGTTATGCAAGTTCAGATTGTATATGAGTCCAACTTCAGACACTTTTAATGTCACAATTTATTTTGGTTTGATTTGTCATAATAAAAAAATTTTTCATACAAAGACAAATTAAACTACTAATTCGTTAGAAAAAATTATAAGAGTTTATTTAGTTATAAAATTTATTTTTTTATAAAATGTTTTTAATTTATTGAAACGAAGAAAAAATTTACTTTACTGTTCAACTTGAAGAATTTTTCAATTCATTTTTTGAAATACTTTCCAAAATTTTTTAGAATAGAAATACCCTTAAAAATTAGTACATAATTAAATGCACAATTTATGCTATAAAAAATTTGTTCCAGTTTTATTAAAATAAATATATTTAATTTAAAGTACGAAAAATGTATTTTACTAAAAACATTTTATTACAAAATTCTTATTGTTTTTATTCATAAAGGTTATTTTCATTTTTAATTATGTTAATTGTTTTTTAAGCAGAATGCAGTTATGTTATTATGCTGGTCTCCTTTTGTCAAAAACGCAATCATGCGATTATGTTTTCCATTATTTTCTACATTAATAACCATTTTAATGATTTTTCAGCTATTGAACTTTGAAGAGCAATATTAAATATATATACAAATCTGATGTTATCTCAAATTTGATAAAAATGTCAGTTATGCTGTTATGCCTTTCTTCCACAGATTTGATAGTCATATTTTGGCGAATAAATATTATTATTTAGTATATAATAATATATATTATTAATATATTTAATTATTTCTACTAAACATAACGTTTTATGTCAAACTTATTAAATTTTAGCAATTTTTAATGAGTGTCTCACAACTGGAGACATTTTTTTTTTGTTGAAAAAAGCGATGTGCTCGGAAAATGTATCGTAAAATTTTTTGAGTTCATCGAAACACTATACTTTCTTTTAATAAAAGTTGCGTATTTCTGTTACCTTTCAAACGGTGTATTTTATTTACAATTTCGTTTACCCGTTTACAATTTACGGGTCAAAAATAAAACCCGTCTCACAACTCGAGACTCTCCCCTATTATTTATGAAAATAATTGAATTCCTTGTGAAATTTTAATTATTTTATGAATATAATTAAATGTTTGCGCAGAATTTCAATAAAATTTTTTATGATTAAATTCTTTTAAAAAATTTTAGTAGATATTATAAAAATCATTAAATTGAAGAAAATTTTTAAAAATAATTGAAATTTTTGCCGAGAATTTTTTCAAAATTTTTTAAAATAATTGAATTGATACCCGTGTAGAAAAATTGTTGGGTTCTAGTGTGGTGCCAGAAAGACAGTCTATTCTCTAACTGGGCGCTGAAAAGACTGTCTGACCATGGGCTAATCAGACCAGTGACGATCGAACCACGCGTTGGTCCAGACTGGACGTGCTAATCAGGGCTAATGAGCAGTGCTAATATTTAAAATTTTAGGTTCGATTTCAATATTTCAGTTTTTTAATTTTAAATAATTTACCCAAATTTACTCGGTTCTCACGTTTATTCAATGTAATGCGAAAATATGAATTATTAATAATAATAAATATTATTGTTATTCATATATATATGTGTGTATATGTATTTAATGACAATAACTCATTATTATAATAATTATATTATTTTCAAATAAATAATATACTGCACTAACAGTAAATATCATTTAAAATAGTAATATTGAAAAATAATTTTAATAAAAAAACAATTTGCGTTAATTGGTACATTTTTTAAATTCATTCTTTAACAGGCCTTTAATTTGAAAGTTGTGCACACAATAGTTCCCGGGATGGGGCTATTTTGTGCATCGAACTTTGTCTTTCTATAATGTTGCGTAAACATTTTTGTTAATCGTTTCTGCTTCATTAAATCTTTTGTGTATATGTTACGGTTAATGTGCAAAATTGGTGAATGTGCACATTGACCGGCGAATGTGCACATTGCTCAAATTGGGCGTTATTCGGATGGTGAATGTGAGAATAGCATAAAAATTATGTGTTTCTACGCACTTTAACCGGTTAATGTACACATTCACCAAATCGTTTTGGTCAAAGTGAAAAATAAAGAAAAGTATATAGGTATTTGCTACGGAAAAAACATTTTTATTTAAAAATTAAGGCAAATGAAACGAAAACATTAGGAACAATGAATAAAATATTTATTTACTCTAACGTTTCGAAATCTAAATGATTTCCTGTTCAGGGAGTCTATCCAAAAAAATATACAAAATTATAATAATAGTAAAAATAAAAATTATATACATAATTAAAATAATAGTGAAAAATAATTTAACAATAAATAAATAAAATAAAAATTAATAGATAATTATCTTGCAAAAAAATAATAATTAAAATAGATGAAGACTTAAATTTTTATGCCCTGAAGATGGAGTTTATTAATTTATTTTTGCAAGGTCCACTGCCATGACATTTTGAAGTACATAAAAGACTGTCTTGCTTACAGCTACATTTTTTTGTGTCGACTTTGGATTTGCAAAAACATCATTTAAATCCTTGACCGCCAGTCAATGATTGCAAAGGGCATAGGGGGTAAGTATGTAAAATCTGCGTTTACAAATTCTGTATTAGGGCAGCTGTACTGTCGATACATATGAAACCCATGAGCTTATTTCAGAGATTTATTTGTGAGATTGATTCGAAAAAATTGTTAACTTTTTTCACCTTTAATATTTAATTACCGACCGAATGATAAATTTATTTCCTTTAATTTTGTCAACTAATTTGTTTAGAATCTGATAAGTAATATTTATACAAAAATATAAAAATTTTAAACAGATTTCTAATGTAAAGTCATTTAGAACCATTGTTTTCGATGCCACTCCAAAAAGAGTGTGCACGTTAGCAGAAAATATTATTTTTCTCAAAAAGTATATTTTTAAAAAATTTGAAAAAAATATGTGTTAAAGGGGACATTATAAGGTACTTTTTAAAAAAAAAAATTAGAAGTGTAACTTAAAAAAATGACCCAAAAAAATTTTTTGAAAATTTCAAAAAATTTTTTTTTTGATTTTTTTGTAAAAAAATTTCTAAATTTTTTTTTTAAATCGTCTTATTTGTCTTTATAACACATTAAAATTTCATTAAAATCGGTTAAGTAGTTTTCGAGAAAAATGAGATTTTCGATTTTGCTTTCCCCCTCCATAACTCTCCTAAAAATACAAATTTTGAGTTCATATTTACAGGAATTGTTACTCATGTTAGTGGTAATATGTGGAATTTATTTGAACGGATTTCAAGCGGGGCAGATTGTACATACTTACCCCCCTATGCCCTTTACTACTTCACGCAAAGATTTTATTGTATTCGGAACTTCTGTGGGATATATAAATTTTTGTCTACAGACAGTAAATTGATTCCTACTGTAGTTTTGTTTTAGGCGTTCATCCTTTGTTCCCAGTGAGTAGATGTCGTTTTTTACTAACAAAACTGTAGCAATTACATTCCTAGCGTCAGTTCTACCTCTGTCTACATCTGGGATAGGGACTTTCACCGAATCTCCTACTGCAGCAGGAGGAAATTCTTTATTGGACATCTTGAGCATTTTTTTAGCCTGCGCTTGCAGTCCATCCTGTGCTTTTTTCCTCTTTTGAGAAAGTTGAATTTTCTTAGCTATAAATGTGTCATGATCACTTGCCAGTGAATGTGAAACCTGAAAAAATATTTACTATTAGGCACTATTAAAACTAAAAAATCTAACAAGTTTAGAAATTATATTATTATATGTACAAACAAAAATTAACAATTACCGAAGTTGTTTCTTGTCGATTATCGTTTTGTTTTTCCTGGTCAGAAGTTGTTTCGCGTCGATCATCGTCTTCTTTTTTCTGGTCAGAAGTTGTTTCTCGTCGATCATCGTCTTGTTTTTTCTGAAATAATTTAATCAATTTTTAAAACTTATTATTATTATTTTTTTTATTTATTTACGGGGGAGAAGAGGAAATGGATTAACGCATGCCCAGGAAGATCTCACTTACCTGGGGTATGTCGGACTCGCACAAAATGCAAGGAAAAAAAGAAACCTCACATACCTGCTTTTCGGGAGTCACAATACCGACTAAAACCTCTTCTTAATTCCCCTGGGTTTCGAACCTTCTATCCACCTACGGAACTACCTTTCGGCTTCAGACTTCGCAGATGGATGGTCCCATTTAGTCGCTGGCGCGACTCTTCCGTGCCGCTCTTCTTCTGGCCATTATTTTCTCCTTGTTCTTGACAGGGTCTTCTTAGCTTCCTCTAAGGCAGTCCTGAAGACCTTGCACCAACCTGATCCAGCGACGTGTTGGATGTTCTCCTTTTCGCCGAACTTCGCCTTGCATAAGAAGCAGCATGGGCTCTTCTTACAATCTGCTACCTTATGGCCGGCTTCTCCGCACTTGAAGCACGCAGCCGACCTATCTACTGCTTGGCAGTCTCGACCTATATGGCCATAGCCAAGGCACCTGTGGCACCTTGTGACCATAACTCTTCTACTTATTCTGCAGGACACAAAACCGATTTTAATGTGCCCTATCTTCTCCAGCTTGTTAGCGTCCTCTTGGGAGGTGACCACGACAGCGAGCTTAATACCTCGCTTATTTGGTCCGAGGACCGTCACCTTCCTGCTTCCTGCTGGCACCGTAGATAGTTTGTCCAGGGCTTCTTTGACATCCTCCTGTTCGGTAAGGGTGTCCATGTCGCGGATCTCCAGCACAGTCTGCCGATCCGCCATCTGCACCTTACCTAGATCGCCGATCACCTTTGTCACCTCCTCGGTGAACAACTTCCTGTTCGAAGACCCCCTAATTTTAATGAGGAGGTCTCCCTTTTTAGTGGGTACAGCTCCCACAACCCCTGTCTGGCTGGCCTCCAAGTCAGTCTCTTTTCGAACCTTCGCCAGCACCTCGGCAAAGGTAGTTCCTTCAGCCACTTTGACGACCATTGTGGCTCTTCCCTTCTTATCTGAAGTTGTCTTTGGTGCCGTTTTCATCTCCTTGCCTTTGGATCTTTTAGGAGGTCCCTCCTCCCTTTTCCTTTTTGGATCCTTCGCAAGCTCAGGATCACTTCTCTTTCGCTTCTGAGCATCCAAGACGACGTTTCTCAACACGATCGCGTTACAGCGATCTCGTCTAAGGGTGCAATCCCATTACAGTAGAATACGTCGACCGAAAACAGAAAATCATGAGTGCGAAAGAGATAGATAGATATTGTTGTTCTTTTCACTCTCATGATTTTCTGCTTTCGGTCGACGTATTCTGCATACATGGGATCGCACCCTAACTCTACGATCCTGTCTGGCCTCTTCCGACCAAGTCAATCCCTGGTAGAGACTCTCATCCTTTTTCGTAGCTGCTACGTGCTTCTCCTTAATCTCCTGTATGAGCGATTTCATGCTTTTGAGTCCGTCCTTGATTGCCATATTGACATTCTTCTGGACCTCGCAGGACTTCATCATCTTGTTAACCTCTTCCTCCATTGCTAGAATGCATGTTGCCTCTTCCTCCCGCAGCTTAATGCATTCATCTCGATCTTGGTTGCAGCTTGCAATGTCCTTTGCCGAGTCATTACTGAAGACAGAAATGCAGCTGGCTTGACTCGTCACGCTGCTCGTACTCCCTTGTCTCTCCGACCTGTCCACGATGATCTGTGGCACTACCAACGTGTTGTTGCCCTCCTGCATCCTTGGGCCACTGGCCACCGCCCTCACGCTCGAAAGCGCTTGACGATCGGAACCAGTGAGGGATTTAGCCGTAGCATTACCCCGCAGGTACTCTTCCTCGTTTTTACAATCGCTCATGATGGATGATTCTTGTTTGCTGGTTTTGGTCCGCGTCGAGTATTTGATTTCCTCGATACCACCTATTTCTAGGAACCTAACCTATCCGCCACCTGGCACGCGTCCGATAGAGGACCAGCAACCCCGCGCAAAAGAACAGCTCTAATGAGCCCCAGGTAGAACAAAAGTTCCAATTAGAACAAAAGTTCCAACCGGGCACGGAATTATTATTATTATTATTCTTTTGCTTAGGGACTTTTGGGAAATCTGCTTACAGATACCTTGGATTCCGCACTCCAAGGTTATGTGGGGTTGGTATGATAAAAACAAAAGGGAATATAAAAAAAAATAAATATTTAAAATAGTAAATTTAATAAACTGGCGACCTACTACCAGCCCGACCCACTAAAACCCGTAACCCTTCTTCTGGAGCCCTTTACCCTCCCTCGGAACTGTCGTAAGACTTTAGCCTTCGAGGGTGGCGCTCCAACTCTGTCGCTATTGCGACTTTCTGCTTTTCTCTGCGGTTATCCTGCGTTAATAGTTAAAAATTTTGAAACTATTTCAATATAAAAGCGGAATTAACAGCAAAACAATAATTAAAAATAACAAATGTGTAATTAAGTGTAAAAAGTCAATAGATAAAATTATAAACGGAAATATGAAAAAAAGAAAAAATAAACGCGTATAAAATATTGAAAACATAAAACTGTACAAAGATGAATAAAAAACACAAACAATTAAAAAATGTATAAGGACAAATATGTAAAAAATTATACATTATACAAATGTTTAATGTACAAATAAATCACAAAATAAATTAATAAAAAACAAACGAACAAATTAAAAGCTGTTTAAATTACGCTTTTTGGCGGCCGTCGAGATCCTTCCTCGACATAACCGAGATTATGAAGTTCTCGAATTGCCGCCAATTCTCTTCTGACTGGGTCATTAGCGATACCATCTTCTCCGGTGTAACCTGACAGTTAACACCGTCGAACATGGCTTGCCTCTCCAAGTCCCATTTCTTGCAAGAGAAGAGGGTGTGCTCCGCGTTGTCCTCAGGGAACTGGCAATATGCACACACCTCGTCCTCGCGTAATTTAAAGCGACACAGGTACGAGTTAAAACACCCGTGACCTGTGAGCGCCTGAGTCAAATAATAGGAAACCTGACTGTGTTTCCTATTTATCCAGGTGGCGAGTGCCGGGATAAGGCGATAAGTCCATCGACCTTTTTCCTCACCATCCCATCTTTCTTGCCATCTTTCTATGAGCCTGTGCCTCGCTTCTTTGCGGATCAGGCCCTTGCTTGGTCTTAATTCCTCATCAAAGAAACTTCTTTCTTTAGAAAAGAGAAACATTTCTTCCCTTTCCCTCGCCAAAAGATCTGCTGGCGGGACACTTGCAAGGACCTGCACAGCACTCGTAGATACCGTCTTATATGCAGAGATGATACGCGTTGTTATCGATCTCTGCGCCGACAGTATCTTTTCATTCGTTCACCAATGTCCCAAGAGCCTCCTCACTCTCGGCAGTGCACACGAACAACGCGTCGTCCGCAAAGCCGATGATCATCACACCTTCGGGCAGATCCATTCGCAGAAAATCATCGTAAGATACATTCCATACAAATGGACCCACCCTCGAGCCTTGAGGAGCCCCACGCTGCATCTCTTCCTTGAGAGTGCAGGTGTCTCCCTCATATATAACCCACCTGTCGCTAAGATAATTATCCATTATCCGCAACAAGTAGGGCGGCATGTTTTTCTTTTTCATCGACTCGATGAGATCCTTCCATCTTGCGGAATTAAACGCGTTGCGTATGTCAATTGCTACCAACGCGCAGAAGCTCTTCTTTTTCCCAGGTCCCAATTTGTTTTTTCCTGCTTTGGCTATGTCCACAACTGCCTGGATGGCATCAACTGTGGACCTGCCTTTACGGAAACCAAATTGGTGATCCGATAGACTATTCTCTCCGGTCAAGTGGCTTTGCATTCTCTCCAGAATCATATCCTCTAGAAGTTTACCCATCGTATCTAGCAGGCATATAGGCCTGTACGATGAAACCTTATCTAGAGGTTTTTCACCTTTCCTTAGGAGGACTAACCTCTGTCGCTTCCAGTCGCGGAAGAACTCTCCTCTCTCAAGGCAAAGATTGAAGCATCGAAGCAGAATCTGGGGTGAAGTGTCGATTACCAACTTTAGGATCTCGTTACTTATCCCATCCATTCCAGGCGCCTTGCCTGTTTTCAATCTTTTGCCTGCTTTTTGCAGTTCACTAAGTGTGAAGAGTTCTTTCTCTTCGACTTTGCAAAAACTCCAGTCCCTTCTAAGGTATGGCTCCGCAGGAGGAAACAAAGAACTTATTATCTTTCTGACCCAATCGGGATTGTCCAGGCCGAGGGTCTTTTGCCTCGTCACTAATTTCTTAGTTACGATTTTAAAAGCTAGACCCCATGGGTCCTTATCGACTTCCTCGACTAGGTCCTTCCAGCTATGGCGTCGCGACTTCCGGATCTCTTTCTTGAGGTCCTTTCTCGCCTCCTTGAAAGCCTCTTTTAGCAAGGGATCTCCCTTAGATCGGGTATATGTCCTTCTTGCTTTGAGGCATTCCTTTCTCAAGGAGGCCAGTTTTTCTGACCACCAGTGCAAGGATTTCGCATTGCAAGCGGTGACGATTATATTTCGCACCGCTTGCACCTCTCCATTTAGACTTTTCGGCCTCCTCACCCAACCAGAATCCTCAATTAAGATAGATTCTTTTAGGGACCGGCCGAACTTCTCCTTGTCGATTTTCCTAATGTTCCACGAGAAGGTTTTGCGACTAGGAGCTTCCTGTCTTTTTCCTCCTCGTGTGTCTCCCATTGAGACTGAGAACTCAATGTACTGGTGGCCACTTGCTGTATATTCCTCAGAGACCCGCCAGTCGCTTATGCGGCTAAATATATTAGACGATGCGATCGTTAGATCTATAATCGACTTTGCATTAAAATCGCCAGTGATGATGACATCCAGCTTGGATTCTATGAGGCTCGATTCTAGGTCTTCTATATTGGCTTCGAAGGTGTTCAGCGGGTCGTTGGGTGAGAAGTAGCAGCTATACATACGTATATTAGCCACCTCTATCCACACAAACCCGCTGCTTGTCTCTAAGAACTTGTCAACCCGCAATTCTGGGTTGCACAGCTTGATGGCGGCTCTCTTCGCCTTATCCTGATACCAAGGTGCGAGGTCGCTTCCTTGATGCTGCTCATTGCAGAACAGGATATCGACCTCATTTTCCCTAGCTGTTTGCATCAGGAGCACCTGTGCATCCTTACTTGTATGCAGGTTGACTTGAAGGAGCTTTAGGGATTTGCCCTTTTAAGTTTCTCCAGTTCCTCCTCGTAAACCGGGCAGGAAATTCTTCCAGGGATATGGTTGACTTCCGTTTTTCCCAAATCTGTACACGTTTTGTCGGGGCCCTTGCAAATTCGTGTCACGTGTCCACTTTTGACATCTTGTCACTTCTAAGTGCGTGCGGATGGATGCGTTTATCCAACCAATACGCACTTTGCCTAGCTTAAGCAGACTCTCGCTGTCCGTTTCACTCAAGCGTACTAGTGCCACTTTCGTACCACCAAAACGTGTCAGAACTCTGCAAGTCACATCTAATTCGGGCTTTTGCAACTTGTCCTTTAAGACGGTTAAAACGTCCGCCTCTGAAGTTGTTTCATCGAGTTCCCGAATTTCGAGGGTCTTTTTATTGACAAGAGCCGTAACCTCGGCCTTGTCCTGAAGGACGGAGGTAAGTTTCTTAGCGAACTTTGAAGTTTCACCCCCCTTTTTGACCACAACAAGAACCTCCTTTTTAAGAGTTCTCCTAATTTTCACAATCTCGGTGCCGGTTTCCTCTGGCTTTACCGAAGTTGTTGCCAGTTTTATAAGATCATAGTAGGTCTCTGGATTCTGGGCCGAAATTTTTATTGCCTCCGTGGTTTTAATTTTGGGGGGGCGCTTCTGAAGTCTCTCCCTCTCTTCTGCTTTCTTTAAGGCCTTTCTCTTACGGCCCTCCCGTTTCCTATTGGAGACGGTTTCGAAGTCTTTTTCGTTTTCAGGCTTATTTTCCACAGCTGCCTCCGAATAAGAAGCAACCCTGGCCGAAGCAGCCTTACTCACCTCCGTCTCCATAGCAGTAGGGTTTGCCTTGGTCTCTTTGCTCTTAACCCTCTTACCCTTGGGAGTGGTCACAGTAGAATCAATCTCCGGACCTTCATACTCTCTAGGGCGCTTCCTTGGGTCGATGGGCTTGCTCTCGCTAGATGTGGCGTGCGACATCGATCTAGGAGTTTCAGGATTCGACTTTGGTTTGCTTGGGCTAATGAAGGGCCTAGGTATAAAACGCAGGTCACTGCGAAGCACCTCGTGCACCTTCCCCAATTCCACCATTCCATCCTGAACATCCTTGCTAATGTTTCTTTGTTTCTTGCAAGCACGCCACATGCTTTCAAGTATTTTAGGGATCAGATCGACCTGCTCTAAAACATTATTTTCGAATCTGCTAAGTCCCTTATCCTCGGAATTTTTGCTTTGGCTCCCTCCAAAATCCTTGGAGCCGTCTGCACCGACTACCGGGGCTTCAACCCGATCAGAATCGGTGGTGGGATTACCCTCTACAGAGGTACCCACTTGGAGTAATTTATTTGATTCTTTATCCATTTCATTTTTTTTATTCTTTGCCCCGTATCGAGGGAACGATCGAGCCTAAACAGGGTACTACTATCTGGCCAAGATGGACCCTGAACCGCCTCCGTTAGTTACATAGACGTTATAGCATTGCCGGAGCATTGATGCGACGTCTATGATATCCAAGGGCACGTGAACAAGTTCGTTTGGACGTGGAGGTCGATGTGTCTCTCCAAGATAGCAGGAAGTTTTCGCAAAGGGAGTGCATCCTGGTATCTCTTCACAGAGTTTACTATTAATTAAATATTGAGAATAAAATTACCTTTAGTGAACTCAAATTTCCAGTTTCTGCATTTTGGTCTATACCTAATTTTACAAGATCGCCGTCTTTCGTCACAATACAATCTATTATTTTATTAAAATGGTCATCATATAAATCATCAAATTGTAATAAATTCTTGAATTTCAGCAACAATATTTTCGGCAGAAAATGAATCTATACCCTCTTCAACTA